GGCGGGGGGGCAGCCTCACTGGCGGGCGCTGGGGGACGGAGAGGCGGCGGAGGGCTGGCGCGCCGCTCCCCTCTGCCTCATGCAGCTGCCCCCGAGCCCGGGCTGCTGCCTGGCAGACAGGGATGCAGGGTCTGAGCGGGATGCAGGGGCAAACGGGAGTTTTCTGGATTTTTTGTATGCAAATAGCAGGGGGAGCGGGGGGGGGGCGCTGGGAGGAGCCTTGTGACAGCCATCCAAAAAGGATTGGTCACTACTTTCTTGGTCTGCTTTTGCTCAGGGGGATTGTCTTTTGGCAGGAAATCCTTAAAAGAAATGTTACAGTGCATGCACGGGGAAGGGGGGAAAAGATCCCCACGAACAAAGAACCACAAAAGCCCTCGGAGCTCCTTGGCCGAGCAAGGGGAGAGGGGCCGCTTTCAGGTGGCGGGTAGTTTAAGGTGAGCTTTGCAGTTAATAAAGCTATTGTAAAGGGATGGGACCCTCCTCTCCCCCAGTCCCCCCCTTGCCGGATTTTGTTCCTTTCGCTACCGGCAAACATATGATGTGGCTGGGCTTCTTCCCCAAGCAGAGGGCAAGGCTGCCTGCTCCTAGAGACCCCACGGGGTCCATATCACCCCCTCCCTTGCTGCTATCAGGGCTGCGGTGAGTAGCACATGCCCCACAGTGGGCTCTGCAACCCTCCCCACTTGTGGGTCAGGTCTGGCAGCTGGGGGCTGTAGTCCCCCCACTTCTTCAGGGCTCACCCCGGGGCCAGAGCTGCGTGCAGAGCACACAGGGGCAGCGGGGTGCCTGCTCTCCTGGCCCATCTCTGGCTCAGCAGTGCCCAGACCTCCCGGAGCGGCTCCTTGTTATCTGAAGCACCTATTCAGAGAGGCGCTGGTGCCCGAAGAGGGACCCTCTGCTAAGTAACCCTCCTGCAGGGTGCCGACTGCTGGGGATGGGGCGCTGCTAGGAGCCCCTGCCAGCCCAGCAGAACCTAACGGATGCAGCGCACAGCTGCTGCAGATCACATCCCTTTGCCTCAGCAGTCACCGCAGCAGGACCAAGCCAGAGTCCCTGTGTCCTCACGGTGCTTTCGAGGCGAAGGACCTAATTTCAGGTGATCAAGAACGCCCTGAAGGATATTTGTGAGGCAAGCCCAGGGAAGCTGTGAAATATGCCATGAGACCCTTGTCCCCCTGCAGCCTGTCCTTTGCCCCGTGGCTGTCATCTCAGCCCCTGGGGGCCCTGCTCTCCTCCCCACCAGGCAGCTTGCTTGCAGCGAGCTGAGAAGTGAGGCAACATGCCTCGAGCACCGACCCTTGCAGGTGGAGCTGTGGCGGATGCCCATGCCTCCCTCCGGCAGCAGGCGGACCTGTAAAAGGTATAGGGTGAGACAGAGTGTCACACGCAAGTCCCCTTCCCCCTCTGCCAGGCTGAGTGAGGGCTATGGCACCGGGCAGACCGCATGCAATAGAGGCTGCATCCAGTCTGATCTCCTTGCCCCGCCAATTGCACAGCTGCTATGCAAAGGATGAGCATCTATAGAGTGGTCCGTCTCCAAAACCTGCGATTAACCTGACCGCCTCTTTCCTGTGGCTCTGTTCTGCAAGGAGCAGAAGGCTGCAGCACATGGGGCCCTGTGAACCCTGGCTGGCACCTGACCACAAAAGGGGGTTTTCCCTGTGTGCCTAGGTGCGAGTGTCAGTGTGTGTCAAAATACCATCACCTGCCACTTTTTTCCAAGGCTAAAAGCGTATGACTGGCTCTACGCAGTGTACGTGCCTCCCTTTCCCTTCCCTTTTGTCTTCACCTAGAAATTTCCTTAAACAATTGACATTTGTGTTGATTTATAGCAAAGGGAAGAACACTTGACAAGGCATTGGGATCACAACGCAGCATCAGTGTAGTTTGGAAATTTCTGGGATTTTTAGTAATATTCTTTATGACATTATCATTGAAGAGTGTAGGCCTGCGTAGTATCTTTTTGTGGTAAACCACATTCTTTAATCAGCTACTGAATATCTCCTTACAGAGAGGTTTTATGGGAAGCTAGCCTCAGCCATTCTGACTTTTGCAAATTGCACAGCTGTATCATCTCATCCACATAGGTTCAGTTCTCCACCTGGGCTTCCCCCAAGTTTGGGTCACTGCCTTATGGCATAGGAAACCTGCAGCTTCTCCCTGCAGAAGAAAACGGACTTCCAGATTTACTGGAACAAGCCCAGTGCTTGTCCAACCTGGTTGTTGTTAGGCACCGAAGCCAGTACTAGCTATTTCAGAGGAAGTTTCAAGATCCTTTCCAGCAGGCCATACTCATGGATATAATCTCCCTGTAGGCCAGCTTCTTCTCTGTTTTTTTAAAGTTGTTCCATATCTGGAAAAATAAATGTAATGAATATCTAATATCCCACGTGTAAACACTTAAAAGTAGTCGTTTTCTTACAGCTCCACATATTCTTGCCATTTGTTATCCATATTCAGTTCATTCCTTTAAAAACTAAATCTGCAGGCTCTTGGCCTTGGTTCGCTTTCATAGCACTGAGCCCCACAGATTACTTATGGCACTCATTTTGAAGTTGTTTTGGCAAATCCGGAGGATTGCCAGGGACTGTAGTTGTTGCTGTTTGCAGGAGAAGTCACTTCAGCTCCCAGTGCCGGTTCCGCTGGACTCCATCCCAAAACTCCTCTTCAGTGGAAGGGGACCTACCGGCGCATTTCCTCTTACTCTGAATGCCCAACTGCTCACCAGCTCTTCATAAAATGGACAAGTCTTTTTCTTTTCCTCTCCTTTTGTCTCTGCTTCTCGTTTTATGTAGTTATTGATGTCCATTCGAGTGGATGCATGATCAGAAGACACTTTGCATGCTCCATAAATTCCTGGTAGCCCTGTACACCAATTTCAACAGATTCAACACTCTGCATGGTGTGGAAGGGAAAACCCAAGATCTGAACAGGCTCTATACAGATTTTCTAAGGTGACGGATGAGACCTTTCCAACAGAAATCTGCTCATTTTTTCACCAGGAATGTTTGCTTGCTTGTTTGTTTCCAGTCCACAGGACATAAGGAGGAAAAGCACGCTGTTTTTCCTGGATTAAACTTCGGTTTGAAACGAGGCTTTATAAGACCTTACTATTTCCATTTTTAATCACCCTTGGCAAACTCACTTACTCTAAATTTGAAACGATCTGAGGTCATGTAAACAAAACCAGCACAAGCCTGCAGACCCAAGCAATCGTTATTGCCCTTGCTCTGATCCTTTACAGAGGAAAATGCTGGAGTGGAAGGCTGAGATTGGTGCTTGTCACTGCAAACTCAGGTCCAGCTTTCCTGGCCCGCGGACCTGAATGCTGTTTACAGGCTTTGCGGTTTTGCAGGGCCTGTACTCCAGCGCAGCCTGGGCGTGAGCTGCGTGGACTGGCTGCTGCGGCTGGGAGACCTGCTGAATTCACAGAGTCCAGATGACTTTCACGCTAAATGCCCCAACTCTATCAGAGTCTAAATGGCAAGAGCAGCACTAGGCACCTTTGTGAGCATGTTCAAGGGGTAAGGATAGTGTGTGTAGGGGGGGAACCAGCAGGGTCCTCTCCCTGGGGTGCCCCGCGGGCCCCTGCTGTGCTGTGCGGCTGCTCGGGGTCGGGACAACTTGCAGCCATGCCGGCCTGGGGATGGGGCTGGCCCAGGGGGGCCGGGCGGCACTCACTCAGGCCAATAAACAGCCACTGTTTCATGCTTAATTGGGAATGAAACTAATGAACTATTTAGGACCCTTGGCTGTTTTTCCTGCATGTTTCAGGTGCTGA